TTTTTTTTTTTTTTTTTTTTTTTTTGGCTGAGACCTTCTGCGAGGATCTGTCTCCTCGGCAGGCCTAAGGGGGGCCCTTGATGCAGATGTGCCCGTCCTAAGTGAAGGCGGGCCTAACAAATCACGAGAGGCCCAGTGGTGCCAATTTCGTATTTGGGGTTCAGGCAGTTGTGTCGCGTCAGTTGGTTGAGGGAACCCAGGACCCGAGCTGCAAATACTTTCTACGGCCTTCCAGGCCTTTTTCGGGAAATGCAGGCCCTGGGCCACAATCGCAGCAACATACACAGACAGTTGGGAGGCTCAACTGAATGAGGCCCAGCAGCAGCAGAGGCCCAGATACCTGGGGCCTACCAGAAGCTTCTGGGCACAGGCCCATCCCAGCCAAGCCGCAGGCCTGGCCAACACTCTTCCATATAGAAAAGAGCTTGTGGCCAGGCAGGGCATTCGGGCACTTGCAAGGTAGCGGCAGCGCTGCTGGAGCAGAGACTCGCGGGCTGCTGTTTGCGCTAAGGCAAGGTGCTGCACACGTGTGGTCGTGTAGGAGGAAGGGCGCTGCTGAGGGCAGCACCATAGCCCAGCCTCCATAACTGGCTGGGGCTTGGATGTACAGCAAGGTGCAGGGGGTGGTCTTCGGGTGTACAACGGGAAGACGTGGGTGAAAGACGAGGAAGAAGGCAGGGGGATGATGATGATGATGATGTGAGGGAACATACCTGGTATTGGCGATGGTCTGCATTGGTCGACATCTTCAAGTACTTCGTTGGCTGCTGACGTCAACAGTTGCTTTGTCAATCCGTAGGCAGACAGTAGCTGTGTAGGGAGTAGGCTGGGCGCTGAGCGCCAATGTTGCATACCGTATAGGTGCAGACCAGAACAAGAACCGACCTTTCAATACAAAGTATAAGATAGCACAGCGGAAGACTTAGATACCAATGATCCGAACAATCAATATTGCAATGCAGCCCCAAACATACATCATCATCATCATTCCATGGTGTGAAGGGGTCTGGCGCTTCACACAGGAAGACTGCGCCAGCCCCAACCATACACAGACGAAGGAGATGGGGGTTAGACGAAGAAGAAGGGAAGATGGGAATGTCGTCAACACCAAGTGTTCAGCACAGGCCCAAATAGTCCCTCGTCGAAATGTCTGAATCCCAAAGGTCGAGTCTGGATCCAATGTCGTCAAGTCTCAAGTCGCAACTCTCTCTCTCTCTGTAATAGTCTGCTGATACTGAGAAGTCAGGTGGTGAGAGGGGAAGAAGAGATGGTGGACATAGAGGAGGAAGAAGAAGAACTCTCTCTCTCTCTCTCTCTCTGTGTCCAGTACTAACCTGTGAAGTTGGCGCCTTGATGCAGGTACCTCGAAGATGGAGCTGGAGCTATGGTGCCACAGGTAAGTACCGCTGGCCTCCGCCAGCCATTTCCCTCCACTGCAACTACTACCACCTACTAGCGCCCAGCGCTGAAGACTACAGCTATGGCTATGGGCGCCCAGCGCCGAAGACTACAGCTAGCGCTACTACTACCACCTAGCGCTGAAGACTACTGCAGCGCTCCTCCTGAGTGCTGCGGCCGAAATCTGAAGACTACCGTCCTACTCTCCAACTGCCTACCCCTTTTCTGCAGGGCGGGCCAGTCCTTTATAGTGCTGGCCCGTGCAGGAGGCTGGCCGTGCCAATGCTCCTCTGGCCTAGACCCTGCGGAAGCTTCCAGGCAAGAGCCTGGAAGTTCCCTGAAGTTTCCCTGTAGGGAAACAGACTGGGGCCTGTAGGCCCTGTCAGAAGGAAGCTTCCAGGCAAGAGCCTGGAAGTTTCCCTGTAGGGAAACAGGCTGGGGCCTGTAGGCCCTGTCAGAAGGAAGCTTCCAGGCAAGAGCCTGGAAGTTTCCCTGTAGGGAAACAGGCTGGGGCCTGTAGGCTCTGCCAGAAGGAAGCTTCCAGGCAAGAGCCTGGAAGTTTCCCTGTAGGGAAACAGGCTGGAGGTCCGGGACGGGCCCTGCAAGGCCCGTGTGGCTGCACAGTATGCCACAGCCAAGTAGGGGGAAGGGCCTGGATACTTATGTTGGTGATGGCGAGAGCTCTCATCGACATTTGGTTTTCAGAGTTACGATTCTCCATTGGTGTTATATTGGTGCAATGCTGCTTTCTGGACACTGTGATACTTTCTGGCTTTCAATGTGATTGTGCAATCTGGATTTTGTCATCTCGCTATTGCTCATTTTCCTTGCACTTCCCTAGTCCTTGCACGGCCTGGCCGCCCGGGAAAATAGGGTGACCCGTGCGGCCCGGCTGGTAGCCTAGAAGAGAAGGGAAAAAAAAAAAACAAAAAAAAAACAAATGAAGAAAAAGCGCGCGCGTGCGCGCGCACACACACACACACCCTGCCCGCTGCCTCCCTCGCTCCCCCGCTCGTCCTCTCCACCTGCCCCCGTTTCTGTCCTCTCTCTCTCTCTCTCTCGTGTGCGCGCTCGCGCTCCTGCTGCCTTCCTCGGTCCCGCTCCTGCAGCCACCCACTCCCGCTCACCCTCCACCCCCTTCTCCTGCTTCTGCCCTCTCTCTCCCTCTCTCTCTTTCTCTCTCACGTGCATGTGTGTGTGTGTGTGTGTGCGTGTGTGTGTGTGTGTGTGTGTGTGTCGTCGTATTCGCTATACACAACTCCACCAAAAAAAAGAAAAAGAAAAAGGAAAAAAAAAGAAAAAAGAAACATGGTTGGGCGCGTGTGAGCATGCGCGTGCGTGGAGGAGGGGGCGAACCCTCCCAATCAATCAATTAATCAAAATCAATCAATCAATCAATCAATCAATCGAGCAATCAATCAATCAATCAATCAATCAATCAATCAACTTTAGTTGAACTCTGCGCGCCTCGGCGGTGTGCGCGCGTTCATTTTTCTCTCGTGCACCACCACATGGCGCGTTTGAACGTGATTGAATGCGTGCGTATGAACGCGAGCGCGCATTCATGGTGATCAAACAGCAACATAGAATGATATAATCTATGTGTGTTGTCACTGTTGGGACAACGGAACTCACGTCTGTGAACCTTTTACAGATTCTTATTCACAAATTTCAAATTCATCGAACCTTCGACAATAAGGATATCATGTGTGCATGGTGACTTACCGGTGGAAAGGAACCGGACTGACGCTCCCCAGAATGGATATGGAGCCAGGACCATAAGGACCTGTTTAAAAAAAAAAAAAAAAAAAAAAAAAAAAGGATATCATGTGTGCATGGTGACAATCCAACAATCAGAATGTCTGTGTGACAACAGCGAGTCTGCACATGACCCCAACGACGGGAACCTGTGCCCGTCGACAATGGAATTGACTGAGTTTTTGCATGTAAGAGGTACGGCTTTGCAATGACTTTGAATTTTGCAATGGTGTGTCTATGGAGAACTTTCTAAATCTTTGTCTGCGGTGATAATGTGCTAAATGAGTGATGATGTCAGCAATGTGTGTGTGATGGTCTCAGCAATGTGAGTGTTATGATCTCAGCAATGTGTGTGTGATGATCTCAGCAATGATCTGAATGTGTTAAGGAGATGAGCATACTGGTAGAAACCACGACAACCAGAAATTGTAATTCAACGTGTCGACAATAGAATCTCTGACAATGCGTACAATTTGTTGGCTGTCTTGTTTTCTACAATTTCGGGAAAATTCTGTGATCGTACAAAGAAGATTAGCATTGGCTCGCGGAGGTTGTGTGACGACAATGCTGCTTTCTCATTCGTCCGCGGCAACTGTGTGATGTGCTGGCCTCCCACTGTGTGTGTCCAGGGCGCAACCAACCGGGGCCCTGGACTCAACTGTGCAGCGCAGCTGTTGTTTCCGGAAGGAGCTAAAAAAAAAAAAAAGAGTGCAATGTATGTCAATGTACAAGTACCGCGAGTCGTTCATGATGATGCCTGTGCATGAGATACACACCTCATCATCATCATCATCATCTTTGATGGATGGACGCATGGGTGGCCTCTGTGTGTACGTGGGTGGGTGGACGACTGGTGGACATGCACTTGTTAGCTTTGCTATTCTTGTCTGATACTACATAGCTTTGCTATTCTTCTTGCAGTGTGTACGTGGGTGGGTGGGTGGGTGGGTGACCTCTGTGTGTACATGGGTGGGTGGACGACTGGTGGTCGTTCCTGAACAACTGGGACAGTGTATACATGTACTTGTCTGATACTACATAGCTTTGCTATTCTTCTTCCAGCCAAGCTATACTGTAGACATGCATTTGTCTGATCCTACTTAGCTTATTAGCTTTTCTATTCGTTTTGCAGGCAAGCTATTCTGGAACTGGTACGTGTTCTGAAACCTGGCGGGAAAGCTCTTATCACAGTCTGGGCACTGGAGCAGGAGGATCCTGGGCTCATCTCCAAGTGGACGCCGCTCATCAAGGAAGAACAATGGCTCGAGTCAAATCCGGAAGTCGTTCATCACAGGTATGCATTTGCCATGGCCGCACTCTTCAAATGCGACCTCAACCTCTCCATGCTTTTCTTGTGTTCAGCTCAAGTTTCTCTGAAAGTCGAAGTGGCTTGCTGATGTTGCTGATCTATTGTCGATCGACTGACTATCGGAAGTGTATTGACAATGAAGCAGGCAATATTTGGCAGGTTCTGATGTCAGACACCGTAGTGAGAGGCCTGTCATAGCAGGCAGCCATTGTGATAAAAAGCCGGCAGAGGAGGCGACAGCAGCAGGGCGTGAGCGGTCGCCGAGGCGGGAACATGAAACCCTGCAGAGGGGAAGCCACGACAAGCAGCAGGGCAGAGACGAGAAAGACGGCAAAGAAGGCGAATGTGAGACAGAGGACATGACAAGATCGAATGGACAGAGGTCAGGAGGACTTGGAGGCGAAGCAAAGCCAGTGGAGTACTTTGTTCCTTGGCATCTTCCTTATCACAGAGCAGAGATCGCCAGTGCATTATCAATGGGGGAAGAAGAGAGCCTTGGTCGGCGAAATGATAAGAAGGGCGCTGTTGTTTACGATCGCTACTACCATCTTTTCGTCAAAGGAGAGCTCGAAAGGTACGACTTATATTTTGCCTAGACACTATAGTAAATTTATTTAATTTAGCGAGTTTTCTTTCTTTTTTTTAAGGTAGAGCTCATGATACGTAGGGTGCATGGACGATGTTAAAGACAAACTGTGGCCAAAATATAGACCGGGGACCAGGGTTGTTGTATACCTGCCGACTGCCCAACCCGACCGCCCACCGCTTTGCAGACTACCGGTAGGAGTTGGCGGTGGGCCAACCAGTCGGCGGTCTGCCGACCAGTCAGTAAACATCCGTCAACTGATTTTTTTTAATCTGACTGTGGGGCTGTACTGCACTTGTTGAGTACAGCCCAAATC